AAAGAACACTTATATTATAATAATTATAAAGCACTTCGGAGAGTTTCACAGCCATTAGAGCCAACTTTTTAAAGAGGTCCATCCTGTTTTCTATATTTTGGGAAGTAAGAAGTTGGTCCATCTAACTGATGACATTTATGAATGGATAAGTTAATCAAAAAGCAATTATGCAAAGTATGCTACTAATTGCTAGCAGTTCTGAAGAAGTCAGTCTTGTCAAGCTAATCAAGTGCCATACCTAATATATCATTAGAGATCCCAGAAAGCTAGTTAGGTTAGGTGACTTTTAATACACAGCTTTTACTTATTTATTTATGCAATTATGTCCTCTTACTCCTTAAGCAATGCCAATATAAAAGCATTGTTTCACTCCTTGCTAATAATAACTCATTGCAACCAATTTCAAGATGGATCAAAACAATGACTAAAATGATGGGGCATATGAGAAACTCTAGATAGAGTAAGTGGTTACTCTTCACATAGGGTTTTCAGGACTTTTCACTGAACCTAGGTTCAAGTTCTTTCCTTTTCCAAAACCTTCAACATGTAATCCCATTAAAAAGAAAAAAATGATGGGCATATAACTTCACCTATAGAGAAATTTTTTAAGTGAATTCTATAGAAATATTTTTAACTTTTTTTTTTAATTAGTTTACATTTTGGGAGATAGGGGATTCAAACCCTAGCTCTCGGGTTGTGGTGTTGCACTTTACAAGCAGGTTTAGAATCATTGAGCCATAAGGCTCGGTGCGAAATCTTTTAACTTTTTTTTATGAAGTTAAAATTAATTACATATATTAGTTAAGTAAAAAAAAAAAGAAAATGAAATCCATAAGATTTAAACTTATCACCCATAAATAATAAATAATCTTAACTTAAAATTCATACCACTGAATCAGAGCAAACTGTTATTTAACTTTTAACCCTGTAAGGGTAAAGAAAAGTAATGGGTATATGAATGCAATTTCACAAATATATTAGTTAGCATTATGGGATAGAAAATGCATGATTAAGAGGGGTCCCTAAATGGCATTGGATGTGTAGTTAGGTGGACCCAAAAGCTTGTCTTTTCTTAATGACACGTGAACATGGCAGGAGTTGGACAGAGACATGGAAATGTGAACGTAATCACTATACTTTTCGCTTCCATGTGCAACCATTAGCAAGCTCTCTAGGATCTTGGCTTTACATATGAACCTTCCTCCTACGATAACACAAAAAATCCCACTGAAATTTCCTACATAAATCCAACGATCCCCTTTAATTTCCATCTCATCTTCTTTCACAGGTTTTTTTTTTTTTTAAATATATATATTCCTCCTACTCTCTAATAAAAAAAAAATTGCAGTTTTATGAGTATTTTTGGAAGTTATTTTGGAGAGTAAATCTCAAGAGAAATGTTGAAATGGTTGGTGGTGATGGGCCTAATTAACTAAAAGAGATCGAAGGGCATAAATCATGTGTTTTCAACACACAGAGACAGAGCCATGACATAGGGAAAAAGGACAAGATTATTGAGTCAACCGTGTTAGGTTACCTGTCCGATCATATATCGTACTACATATCCTTGAAATTTTGCCTTGTTCTGTGTTTCATGCCTGGCAAGCATCCACTCGGAAAAATGGTCAAAATTGGAGGACATCTATGGATATGACTAGACAAAATTTTGTTTAGGTATACAATTTGATTGATATTTTATTTACTTATAAAATAATATTTAAAAATATTAATTTATAAATTAATGTTAATTTATTAAATAATAAATATCAAAATTTTTTTTAAACAGAGAAAATGAGAGAGGGGAAAAATGAACTGCACATTACAATTTTAAACTTTGATCGAAATCATGAGTTTAAATGCACCAATCAAACCAGTCGAAACTACGGGTATAAATATCAATTATTTATAACAATTAAAACAAATAAAATTAATATTTTTTATACTAATATTAACAAATTTATGTTATCTTAATAAAATTTTACGTAACAATAATTGCACCCAATTTTAAGGACACAAAGCTGGTTTGTCTTAAAGTTAGTGTATGTCTTTAAGGGCACATGCCCTTTATGCCCCCAAAACATGTGTCTGCTGCTGTTTGAATTTGTGACTAAAAAGTAGAAATATCTTGCATCTGCCCTTTGTTGCATCTCTTTCCAAAGGCAATCTATATGTCCATTCAGCATAACCTCCTTTTTCTTTCTTTTTTTTTTTTCACTAAGAGAGGGCTACATTGGAGTAAAAATGATTCAAAAGTTACAATTCAAATCTTAATTTGCAAGCGAATTTACTAAATGTTGACGTGTGATGGTCATGGGTGTGCAATATTGTTGGTTCATCCAAAAATCTTTACATAAATTTCTAGCATCAATTAAATTAAAAGTACCAAGTTAATTATTGCCCATCAAATCCTCAACTACTCGAAATTAAGGCATAACTAGGTAGATTGATCTAACTCTTTCTTAGTCCTTGAAATGCATAAATGACAACTTTTTCCTTTGCTTGATGAAAATGTTTTGAACATGGTGCTTTATTTAAAGATGATCTTAGATTTAGGTGCAACAATATTATCGACAGCTACAAGTCTCTGTAAATGACACCAGAAAATCTTTCTTCGAATTAGGAAATGCCGAACCCGAAGGGATTTCCTCCCCTTCAACTTTTTTTTTTTTTTTTTTTTT